ATAGCTAAACATTTTGAAATATAATTTAAATCTTAAGGATAAAAGCTGAAAAACTACGCTCTGCTTTTCCTAGATTAAGTACACCTGTTTCCCCCAAACAAAAATCTTAAGTTTTATTTAATCACACCTAAAGTCTAAAGGTTTTTCAGTACAACCACTACCTATACATAGAACACTTGGTTTGCAAATTTATAATTTCCCTGGCTTGTCCCAGCATGGAATGCACACTGAAGACTACAATTGGTTGACAAATGATTTTGTTTGCAAACAGAATCATTAGTGAACCAAAGTATTACTGTGCTACATAAATGGCTGTTCAGTACTATCTCATCCATTACTCAAATTAACATTTCAAGTGGGTTTTATTAGCCCCAACTTGCCAAAGCAAATCAAGAATAAGACCATGGCAGAAAGCTTCTCAGGGTCATGTGGCTACTAAATCGCAGAGCTGGGATTAAAACCCAGGACTGTCAGACTCCAAAGCCCATGGTTTTTAGCTTTTATGTGTTGGGATCCCCATATATTTCAAGCATGGGATTTCTTTCTTTCTTTCTTTCTTTTTTTGGTACCGGGGTCGAACTCGGGTCCCTGCACTTGCAAGGCAGGCAGTGGAACCACTAAGATAAATCCCTGGCCCAAGCATGGGATTTCTAACCCTGTGCACTTCTTGGTAAAATCACTTCAGCAAGGAATTGAGTGGGTCTTTGGAAGATGCAGCCTGAGCTTTGCATTTACAGTTATTGTTCTTATCCTCAAACCAGGAGACATCCTGGTATCCTTCCTGCCAGATGCCAGCCACTCAGCAGAAGGGCAGGGAGGTCAAGGCAGTGAAGAATCTCCAGCTTGAGCCAACCAGAGCCAAAATGTGGCGGCTGAAACCTCGTCCCCCTGGTGAAGCCCATATTATTTAGTTGGCAATGAATAGAGTTACAGATCCAGCACGAAAGTATCCGTTGGAAAGTACAATTCTAAGGCACTGCAAATGTGGAACTTGGTTTTTGCATGAGGCTGAGTCGTACTAGAAACAACAAGGGCAAGGCCTCTGTGGTCAGAATCCCTGAATTCAAATCTGGAGCTCACGATGCATTGGAATGATCTGTTACAAGTTGCTCCCCTGCCTGAAATTCTATTTTCCCACCTGTGGAAGAGACATGATGCAGGTACCCCAAACACACGTGGGTGCAAGCATCCAGAGCTACTGAGGATGCCGGGTCTGCTGCACGTATTGTAAAAAGGAAAACCCCAATGTGTCAGCACTGACCAGGGCAAGGGAGCCTCACTCCAAATCACGGCTGTCATCAGACCCGATCTGAAAGTTGCTGTAACTTCGAAACCCACTCACTCTCCTTTCCCGCAATATGGGAGCAGGTCTGAAGTTGTTTCGTGGTGCCAGGCCAGATGACAAGTAAGAAGAGGGAGCTCCGCCTGTGTGGACTGCCTCTGACAAATGGGCTCTGGCCTCCTCCTGACAGGTCACCCCCTGACTGACCCAGCAGCCTCTCCGCTCATCACCTGAAGCACGATCTTCATAATAGCGTTGAAATTCAGATGGATTTTTACACCACAAAAAAAATGAACTTAAATGCCTTCATTCCCCCAGCAGAAACACAGCGCTTAAATGTCAAATGCACAACTACTCAGCTACTTCCAAGTGACAGGCTGCCTCCACTCACCTTTGCCAAGTCCACATTAGCTCCGCGGCATCCACCTGTGGGAAGAGGCGATCTGTGCACGCGACTGTCACCGAAAGGTGACAACGGCCAGCAGCCCTTGATATCTCCCTGTTTCACCCTCTGAGAGATTTTACCCCATAGAAGCGCAGGTGCATTCACGGGACTCTGCTAACCGGCAGGAGTGGAAGCGAAAGAGAGACGTAAAACTAGACAGAGCGCATGCCAGCACGCACCCCAGGAAAGGTTTTCCGAATAACAAGGAGCTTCCCGATGGCGTCCGAGAAAACAGGTATCCAGGACAAAGGAAAACAGAACAATGAGACAGACAGAGGTGGGGCGGCTCTCTTTGCTCTCCCAAGGTTTTCACGTGGAGCCCAGACTCCATGGAAGTACAATGATTTCATTGCTTTTCTCTTCATTACGACAAGGGCTCTTCTCAACTCTCAGAATCTACCCTTTATCTTCAACCATTCTCAGGCTAGGACACAACGGGAAAACGACTCATCTCAAGGCAAATGGCCCAACTCACTGGCATGGGATGAGAATGAGGCGTGAAATCGGTGGGAGGTGGCCTCGGAGCGGGCCTATCGTACTCCAGGGAAAACTTCACATTTTGTGATTTTTAAAATGCTTCTACCAAGAAGATAGTCAGCGATGTAAGGCAGATGGACATACACAAAGGCATCCAGATACACCGGCTACAGGGAGGAGATGCAGAAAGGAAAGAAAGAAGGGTGAAAGGAAAACAAAAAGAGGAATAGTCAAAGCTGGTTTGGGGACGGTACTAATCCTAAAGGGGTCCCGTTAAGCTTTCCGAAGGAAAGGGAATCAGATTTTAAAGAAAGCTCTGCCGATTGTCCTTCAGAGCCCTCAGAGGCTGTACAAATCCCACACAGGCCAAGGCACCGCTGCTTCAGAGACAGGTTTGCTTATTATTTTGGCACCTCTGTCATCTCTTGTCACTTCAATTCCACTTTGTCAAATTACTGATTTTGCCAGAAGCATTTGGATTAAACGGAGAGGGACGCACACACGCACGCGCGCAGGGACAAGTGTCGTAACTTCAGGGGGGAGGTTTCATAATTACACATCAGGTGACAGCAGGACCAAAGTGCATCCTCCGAAGCCGCCGCCGCCGCCGACCACTCCCGCTGCTGCTGAGGCCGCCATTGCCCTGCGTGGCCTCACCTGACAGCGCTGCACTGACAGCGCGACAGACAGGGTTCCGGGGAGGCTGCGGGACCCTGCTCCTCCTCCGGCCGAGGAAGGTCGGCATAGTGACTTTCCCCTAGAAAGACAGGACTCCAGGACTCGGAGCTAACTCCCAACCCTCCCCCGCCCCGACTCTTTAAGAGAGTTTTCTGTATAGGCAGTGATGTGTCGCGGGTACAATCAGCTCAGGGGACTGATACATATTCACATCACATCTGAGTCACTCTTACTCCCCAAGCCCTCTTCGCCCTCCACCTAGATCCTTCCCCCATCTGTAGAGTCTGTTTCCCTGTTCCTTCACCTCTCTTTATTTTGCTTTTTAAATTCTTTATATTTTGCACCTTTCATATCAGGGAAACTGTTTGTTATTTAACCACCTGTGTCTGACTTATTTCACTTAATGCGATGATTTCAAGAACCATTTATTTTCCTACCAATGACTGAGATCTATTCTTCTTGAGAGCTGAGTAGTACTCCATTGTGCATATATTTCACCCTGGACTTCAAACCACATGGAGAGGCAAGGACAGGCAACAGCCCAAATAGAAGACTTACTGCATTACCGAGAATTTGAAGAAAAAAAAAAAAGACAAAAAAAGAACTTCCCCTGTTAACAAGAGGAATAGAAAGTCCTTAGTAAACCAGAAAATGAAGAAAAAATTTTAGTTGCTAAGAATCAATGCCAATTAATCTCTAGTGCTCAGTTAATTTACATAGCAATATTTGAGGTCAGGCTAAGCAAACACCTAAAAAATCTTTCAGAAATGTTTTAATCAGTATCTGACACAGCCCAACAACGTGAAGAAAAGCATAGAAACACTGGGGGTTTGTATGTTTTCCTCTTTCCAGAAGAGCTGAAGCCATGCACAGAATGACCATGAGTCACCTCTTCTCATGCCTCATTCCCTCAGAGCAGCCACGGCCTGGGCGGTCACTCTCATTGAGATGGACAGGCGAAGCCGAGGCAGGCTGGGAGGTGGAACAGCACCTGTGTGGCTTTTGCTGCCCAGAGTTTATCCTAGCAGCTGATTTATCTTGCTAACAATGGAACTAAAGTTGTTGTCCTAACACTATCATTTCCCCTGGAATCTTTCAAACACTACCAATAAAAAATATATGTTTTTCCTCTGGTGTGAACAAACTATAATAGTACATAAGATCCTAATATGAAATAGGAAGAAAAGGGCTAAAGGTGTAGGGAAAGTGGGAAGGGTAGGGGAAAGGTAATAAAGGAAAGAAAAAATAGGAGAAAATTAAAAAATGGAAATAAAATGTTTGTAAATGGGGGGGCAGGGACAAGGGGAAAAATGAGAACTAAGACCTGTCATGTAAAGGTACAAGATCCCGATGATGAATATTTTTTTTTTTTTAAAGGGACAGGAACATGTTTGTGACCTGCATAAAAGTCTGACGGAAGTATAGGCAACTTGAACTGTAGAAAGAGGTCAGGGAAACTCTTTCCTGTGAACACTTGCCAATAAAGAGAGACTGTGAAAACATTAACAATAGTCTGACAGTTGCTTATCCTGAAGGAATCGACACCAAGTGTAACAAACAAGACAAATGGGGGGAAACTCAGATATGTAGGAAATGACTGCCGCCCCGGGGCTCAAACAGAAAGTGGATGCTCCTGTGAGAGTTCCAGAATGGACACTGAGACACGTTCTTTTTCAGGTAAAGGACATGGATCACATCTGGGAAGATGCACACTGAGGAGCCCAATATTACATACCCTATAACGTATGTCACACTATATAGTTACATGTAACACATGAAACATGGAATGTTCAACAACAATCTCCAACTGAATTGCAAAACAAGTTAAAGGAAAAATGAGTCATTTCCCTGAAAAGGATACGACTAAAGCAAAAACTCAGCACCCAAATTTTTATAAATCTAATGACATTATATATGCTTCACTGAAACCATCAGAAATAACACAGATTGCAAGGGAGAAAAGGGATGAACACTGCAAGCTTTATTGCTAAGTGTCTTGATACCAGCACACGCTCATTTGCAAACCATTGCTGAGTGAGGCATGCCTTAAACACCTGAGTTGACATCACAGAGCTCTTGTTTTGTTTGAAAGCAAAAACATGAAAAATATGGACTTACCTTTCTGTCTTCTATTTCCACGCAGGTATTGCAGTCGCCTTTGATATCCTGAGAGAAGGAGAAAGAAAGCAAGAGAAAGAACAGGAGTCAGACCTGTGGCCAGAGAAGTCAGGGCTGTCGTTGAAATGCCCTTTAAAATAATAACATGCTCACACTCCTAACAGCTCTTCCTCGAGTCGTTGCTCTTGATAGTGCACTGTACAGGGGCACGCCGACACCGACGTGTTAGCATTAGAGACATATGGCTGTCAGAAGTAAGCTTTACAACATGCAGATGCAGCTCAAGGAGGATGCTATGCATCAGAGCCCAGAGCAGAGGGATGCTGATGGCTCATAAAATGATCCGTCCCCACCCCAACACCTTCAGTAACGTCAGCAGGGACTGCCTTTAATCAGATTTAATGTCTGTCCTATTCCAAGTTCAGGAGAATCAAATCTACGTTGTTTCAACATGAGATCATTACCATCTCTTCATGTCCATCCACCAGTTACCCAGTCATCTGTCCGTCTAAATCACCGATCTACTGGGATCCCTCCATGCACCCATCCACCCATCCACCCATCCATCCATTCTTTTACTCACCCACCCATGCATCTGCCCATTCAGCCATCCACTGAATCATCTACCCATCATCCATCCGTCTATCCATCCATCCATCCATATCTATTACAGACTCATTTTTTTGCCTGTATTTTTCCTTCTTTGGAATAGAAAGGTACAAATAAAGCATGCTTCCTATCCTCAAGGAACTCATTAAATGGAACAGCAGGCATATTCACACGAACAGCGATGGCATTAATTCACTCATACAGAAAATACATAGTGGGTACCTACTGCCTATTAGGCCTGACTCCAAGCATAAAGGACATAGTAATGTACCAACATAAGGAAGGCCCTGCCCTTCGGTGCTTATACTTTGTTAGTAAAAATCAGGCCATTGTAAAGAACCTTCAGCTCATGGCATTCACAAGGGGATATTCACTGTAAAGAAAAGTAATATAAAGAGAAAGGGAGGTGAACACAGAGTATAGGGGTCTAAGATCTCAAATTGAAAGGACAAAGCAGCAATGGAACAAAAGCTTTGAGTCAATCTGGAGATGAGCCAAGGGAGAAACATGTGCAAAGGCCTTGGGGCCATGGTCATATTGGGCGCAGTCCAGGAGGAGGAAGGAAGTCTCTACGGTGAGAGGGAACTAAGAGCAGAAAGGTAGGAGAAGAGAGGTGAGAAACAACTGGTGTTTATTCTGACAACAGTGAAGAGAAGCACTCAGTTTTCTTATTGTGGAAAAATATTCCTAGTGACACTGGCCATTTTACCACATTTAGGTGCATAATTCAGTGCATCACATATATTCCTGTGGTTGTGAGTTATGATTAACATCTAACAACTCAGAACTTATGACTTTCCAAAACTGAAGCTCTACTCCATTCAACAGTTTGCTGTTCCTCCTCCCCATGCCCTGGTATCCACTGGTCCTCTCCCCAACCAGATGAACGATGCATCTGCTGTTAGGAAAGTCACCTCCTCACCCCAGCAGTGTTCCGGGAAATCCACCACAAAACACCAGAGCAGGCAACTTCCACAACAGAAATCTGCCTTCACGACTCTGGAGGCTAGAAGTCTAAGCAATGTGCTACAGGGCTTAGCTCCTGACAAGGTCTCTCTTCCTATCTTGTTGTCACAGCCCCTTCTTGCATGAGTGATCTCAGAGAAAGAATGAGAACTCTAGTGTCTCCTCTTCTTATGAGGCAAGTAGTGCTATCAGGTCAAGATCCGATCCTCAGGACTTCAGTGAACCTCAGTTACCTCCCTACAAGACCGTTCTCCAAGCACAGAAACTTTGGGGGCTTGCCTTTCACACACAAATTTTGGAGAAGCATCATTCAGGCTGTAATGTATATGCAAGTGAAATGATACAGTGTCTGTACTTTTGCAACTGCCTTATTTCACTTCATATAACGTCTTGAAAGGCCGAGTGTGGTGGCGCATGCCTGTAATCCCAGCACTCGGGAGGCTGAGGCAGGAGAATCGCTGTGAGTTTGAGACCAGCCTGGGCTACATACTGAGTTCCAAGTCAAGTCAACCTCAACTACACAGTGAGACCCTGT